TATGCGTTTTGATTCTAAATTAAATAATTAAATTTTAAATAATTGAAAAATAGAACGAGATAAAGCGTCGCGGGAATTATATTTTATTCTATAAATATCATTAAAGTAATAATTGTTCATAAACAATGCGGATCACAAATGTTTATCAAAATATCTTCGTGTATCATCATTTGTGTGATAATAATTATGTCGCGCGCGTATCTATTAATAGTTTTGATTATCATATTATAAAAATTATACGTATATTTCTCGTAATCGAATATTCCTATTATTATCGATTTATTTATTCGCGTTTTCTGGCGAATTTTAAATCGCGATTTATTTTGTAATTTAATTGTTGATTTACATTGAAGCTTATTTTATTTTTTCGTATTTTAAATATTTTCTTTGATAATCTACACAAAATGCGATAGTAATGCAAATATTTTCTTCTACAATCGAAGAAATGATCAATAATTTTATTAATGACTCTTTTAATCATGATTATATATATTTACGTTACATAAAACTTATTAAATTCTATTATCGCATATCGATTATCAATGATAAATATTGCATAATTAATCATCGCTCATCGGGCTTGTCTGGACTATATAAAAATTTTTAGTAAATTTTATATTATATGTATATTTTAGAGACATTTTCGTGTATTAAATTATTCCATGTAATAAATAAAAATTATTTTGTATTAAGTTTCAAATTATATTTTACATTCACTTTTGTATTAAACCCTGTATTGAAAGAAAATAAAAATAAAATTTAAAAAAAATTTTTTCCTTTTATCTCCACCTTACAGAGGCATTTGCCGGATGAGGTTTTAGTACTCTAATGAACCTAAGAGCTATGCCGGCAGTAACGTATAATACGCCGATATTCATATATGTAGACTATTTTTATATTTAAAATAATCTTAAGTATGATCTTAGATCGCGTCTTGAGATTCCGATCAGTTAGTAAAATAGTTGTATTTTCCAACTTACTTAAGACGATCTTAAATATAAGAATGAATTATGAATGCCGGCCTTAGGGTTACCTATGCCGGACAAGTCGAAGGGAAAGAATCAGACTAAGAAAGATATCAAAATTATATATATGTTATTTTTAATTATATTAATATTTTTGAATAAAATAAAAGAAAAAGAGACAATAATTGAGAAAATAGAAAAAAGACAACTACAGTGATTTGAATATCTCAAATCCTTTCTCCTCCTCTTTCTCTCTTTCTCTCTCTCTGAGTGATTTGAATATCTATACTCGAGAGAACAAATGTCCATAGAAAATATTTCGATGGACTCCATTGGAAGAAATAAGCATGACAAATGATGATAATTCCTATGATTTTAACACCAAGGAATATACAATAAACCAAGAACTAATCCAAGAACTCGAAGAAGAAAATAATAGATAATAGATAATAGAAATAGATAATAGAAATGCATAATGATTGGAAATGATTAGAAATTAAAAGACAGTATGAATACAACCTATTTATTAATAGTAATACTATTTTGTAATTATATTAAATTTTATAATTTAGTACATTGTATTATATAAAATATTAAACATAAAAATATTATACTGGTAAGAAAATTATAATAAAAGTATATAAATAATGTTGACTATATTAGAATGGAACATATGAATTCTTTATATTTTATATAAAGGAAGAGATATTTAAAATATTTTGCAACTATATTTTTCGAATCTTAATTATAAAAACAATCAGTGATTAATTTGACAAATTCTATACATGTATTAATAATTAAATAATTAATAATATAATAACTTTTTTAAATAATTAAAAAAGTGATTAATAAATTTCAAAGATCAGTTTATTGCTAATTAAGATTTATAGAAATAACGGTTAAAAATGTTTTTATTCCACAGCAGACATTTTGTGTTTTGTAAATAAAAATATATAAACATGGCAATGAATATAGAAAAATATTTATTTCATCTTTGAACATTTCATTGGAAGATTACAATATCTTTCACGATTGCATAATTTATTTACTATCAATTTATATACATGAGCGTCTTGTTATACTCTGGTGCTACCCGCATTTCGTGCACATAGCACGGAACAAAACCAGAAATTGTGCACATTATATTGCCTTCTGAGAACATTTATGGACATTGGTTTTGTAGTTCATGTCCACGTTTTCAATGTCCATAGAGGGAATATCGCTTTCAGGGATCACCTAAAAGCAGGCCATGACATCTCTCAGTTTTCTCTCTGTATAACAAGATACTTATGTATGTAAATTGATGATAAATAAATTATTCAATCGCGAAAGATAATGTAATATTCAAAGATGAAATAAATATTTTTCTATATTTATTGTCATATTTATATTTTTTTATTTACAAAACACAAAATGCTGTGGCATAAAAACATTTTTAATCGTATTTATAAATCTTCTTAATTAGTAGTAAACTGTCAACAATCTTTGATATTTATCAATCATTTTTTAATTATTTAAAACTTTACTTATTAATACATGTATAGAATTTGTCAAATTATTAACTGATTTTTCTGAAGTTTTTATATATAATCAAGACTCGAAAAATATGGATGTTGCAAAATATTTTAAGTCTCTTCCTTTATATAAAATATAAAAAATTCATATATTTCATTTTAATATAGCTAACATTATTTTTATATATTTTTATTATAATTTTCATATCAACATAATATTTTTATGCTTAATATAATATTTTTATGCATAATATTTTTATGCTAAATACATATTACAAAATATATGACAAAATATAATACAAATTTAATATAAAATATAATTCGAAATTTAATACAAAATAATTTATTATATGGAATAATTTATTACACAAAAATGTCCAAAATATACGTATAAAATTTACTAAAAATTTTTACATAGTCCAGACAAGACTGATCAGCAAAGATTAATTACGTGACATCTATTATTAATAATAGATATGCAATAATAGAATTTAATAAGTTTTATATAACGTAAATAATCGTGATCAAAAAAGTCATTAATAAAATTATTGATCATTTCTTCGATTGTAAAAGAAAGTATTTGCATTACTGGCGCATTTTGTACAGATTATCAAAGGAAATATTCAAAATAAAAAGATAAAATAAACTTCGAAATCAACAACTAAATTACTAAATAAATCGCGATTTAAAATTCGCGAGAAAACACGACGAATAAATAAATCGACAATAATCGGAATATTCGATTGCAAGATACGCATAATTTTTATAATATGATAATCGAAACCATCAATAGACACGTGTGTGATATAATTATTATCACACAAATGATGACAGACAAAGATATTTTGGCAAACATTTGTGATCCGTATTGTTTATGAATATAAAATTCACTGTCCGATTTATTTGCGATTAATACGTGATTTTATACGAATTTCACGATTGAGAATAAAATATATATCCTATTTCGCGCATTAACTGAATAATATGAACTCTATAAGTTTTAAAATATAATTAAAAATCGCGTGTGGCCACGTTTAATAGAAAATAACAGAACAAATAATTTTTCAAAGTTCCTTTAATAATTGATGCGACTCAAATTCACAAGAAAACGCGACGAATAAATAAGTCGATAATATGCGGAATATTTGATCGCGATACGTACAATTTTTATAATATAATAATTGAAGCTCTCAATAGACACGTGTGCAATATAATTATTATCACGTAAATATAGAAAATCGAAGATATCGACAAACATTTGAGGTCTGTAATGTTTGTGAATATGCAATTCACCGACCGATTTACTTGCGAATTTTTATAAGATAAATCGCGATTTAAAATTCGCGATAAAACGCGACGAATAAATAAATTGATAATATTCATAATATTAAATTGCAGATACGCGAATGACCGGTAATTCGATAAAAAAAGGAGCGATCTTAATGGAAAGCGATTAACATCTTGTTTCTACATCAGATTTCGCAAGATCAATGATAGCAATGATTTCAGTAATACATGATATTATTGATATTCTCTGCCGAAATATTTTACGTACTACATATACACGTGGAATTTTAAATTATAGAGGTATATATATATATATATATATATATATATATATATTTTATTTTAAATTAATGATTAAATGATTGATGTATCACGGAACCTTTTGTTATGCTAATGATTTGAATTTATTTGATTGTTTTACTGCGCTTTTCTGAAGTTAAATTTTATAATATATATTTAATTTTGCATTTTAAAAGACTGGCTTAGAGCGAACTAAATAAATAAATAAATAAATGATGTTGAGGAAAAGAAAAAATGGAGACACGTAAATAAATAAATAAATAATAGTGTGAAAAGAGGGAACATACTAATAATTTTATATAATAAATTATTATTAATTAAATTATTTATATTTTTATTTATATTATTTGTATTATCGGAGGGACATAGTATATGTTACCTTCTGAGAACATTGATTTTGTAGTTCATGTCCACGTTTTTAATGTCTATGGAAGGAGTATCACTTCCAGGGACCCTAAAAACGGGCCATGACGTCTCTCAGTCTTCTCTCTGTATGTATACGCACCGGCAGGATTGATGTCCTGGTATGTGTTGGCGGTCGACGGTCGACGTCATACGCACCAGATATATATCATGATTATTAATTCGGAAAAAATTCAACTGTAATGTTATCATCGAACAGGAGATGGAAAAATTATATTACATCCTATTAACGTCAAAATTGTATCGTATGATTATGATTATGTCTCATTTTACATTTCAATTATAAATGTCAAGAAAATATATTAAGCAACGATTCTTATACAATTTGTTACTCAAACTATATTCAGTGTTACCAATCAAATAAAATTGCTATTGCTTGCAAAAATAAATGTTTCAATGATAACTTTTTTCTGCTTCATGCATATCGTAAGCTGATAATAAGAAAATAAAAAAATTTGCAATATAGTTCAATTTTAGGAGAGTATATATCTCGGGGTGATATTTTTGTCCTTTTTTATTTTTTATTAAAATTATAAAGTCATTTTATTAGATTACACTAAGGATCGAAGTAATAGGGTATATCATTCTGTTGCTCCAGTAACGTGGCTAATGCCAGCTCAATGTTCTCTGGCAAATGATCTAAAAGCATACGTGGCATCACCGATAATTTCGTAAATTCTTCCGCTTGCGCCCATCGCATTTCGTATTTTCTCTCTTTTGCGAGCTGTTTCTTGCTAAAATTTTATATATAGAAAAATAAATTATTAGTATTAAAATTTTGAAAAATCCCCCTTTGTATAACTTAATTAATATTATTAATATTATTATATAAAACATTCTAATTAAAAACAGTTGTGTTTAAATTTAATATTTCTGGTAATACTGATATATATATACTTTAGATAAAAATCTGTAAAAATGAATTATTCGAATAGAAAAATAAATAAGAACAAAACACACCTCTTTCCCTCTGTCTTTTCTAGTTTGCACCTTGTTATATGAAGAATACGGCCGGCATTAAACAATTGTTCTTTCGAATATCTTCTTTTAGTTATGTCACGTTCTATTATTTTATTCTGTAAAAAAATAGATGTATTACTTCGTATCAATTTTCACGCACATAAAATGTTAAATATAATAATTACGAATACATGTTTTTGTGTGTATGTGCTTCCTAAAATTTTTATAAATGTATTTTTGTGTCTTACCACATCATTAGACTTGATGAGTAAAGGTGATTGGCCTGGAGTAGTAATTATGTCATAATTGGTCCATGTTTTACTCAAATCATTCTCGGGAATTCCAAATAAAGCGTATCCAAACCCATTCAGAACCACTCTATACTAAAGATATAAAAATATTAATTTTATTAAAACAGAATTTGATTTAATTATCCAAAAATCCTGAATTTTAAGAATCCGGATTTCCAAAATACCTTAGGTAATCGGCAAGCCCGAAGAGTTCCTAGTAATGCAGTCCTTAAATTTTCTATACTGTCCACGCTGAGCCTCATTACAAGATCGTCTCCGAGTCCAACAGTTAACACGAATTCTTCCGTAATTCTAGCAGCATCTCTGCTGAGCAGGCCAGCTTTTTGAAGAAGCAGATTAAAGATTGTTAATTAATTTATGTTTTTAAAATCGACAAAATTAATAATTGGCAATCAATGCATTCTTCCTAACAAGAAAATTATTATATATTAATTATAAATATATAAATAATTACCAGGTGTAGCAAATGCATAGACTCTCAAATCCGGATAACGGGGACGTATCATTAATCCCAAAAGAATCGCTAAACCAGCTCCTAAACTATGACCTATAAAAAAATAATACATGTTATTCCATTACAAAATTTGTAACCATGGCAAAACTATTATTTATTAACAGTACAAGTGTAATCACCTGTGATCGTTAGATTATAATTAGGATATGTGGCGAACGCTCTTTCCAAGACTTTATAGTTTTCCAGTTGCTTCAAAATTATTTTTACTCCTATTATCATACCTTTGTGTGCCTATAAATTTTTCTTCGAATTAGAATCGAATGATTTTCATGTATTTATGCGAAGAAGAGATTACACTAACCGTACTATCTGGAGGAAGGCCAGGACATTCGAATGAATCGGATGCGGCTGCAATATCAGTGATTAAATCTCGCAAGGATAATGATCCTCGTATAATTACAACGATATTAGCAGTTTTATGATCCGCAATTACACAGAATGGTATCTGTAAGATTTCAAAGATTAATACTAAATGTCGAGTAGATATAATTTAGAAACACAAAATATACCAACTTCGCACAAATGATTTTTTAAAGAAGCAAACAGAATATCCTCTTCGGACAGCTTCGATAAGTATTTAATGCCAGAAAGATAACAAAGGCAACAATTATCGTCCAGAATAATGTTACGCTTTCGTCTAAAAATATATGTATATATTTATTAATACATTATCTTATAAAAATAATAATTTCTTCTTATATAAGAATATAAAAATTAATGAGAATATAAAAATTAAGTCATAAAGTTTTATGTTATACTTTTTTACCGGAAACAAGCACAGCACGTCATGCCTCGTATTAAGCGAAAACATCCAGTACACAAATGCTGATATATTACGAAAAGCCAGCCATAAGAAGCGATCGATAATTGTAGGAAGTGATGAGCAGCTTTCAAGGACATCCAACTAGGTGTGTCCGTGAAGATCGCGCTGCTGTCTAAAAAAATATGCAAATATTTGATAATCAAACAATATTGATATTCACAGTATATATGTCATCGCATTCTTTTCAATGCAAATAACGTACCTGAAGTATACTTTGGACGCGTTATTAAATTTAACTTTCGCAATTCGTGAATTTCTCGTTTCTGTCGGACTCTGAGTAAGATGCATCCGGCTACTACATCTGAGGGAACCAAATCAGTACCGCGGAATAATGCACTTAAAAGACCTACGAAGATATTTCTATTAGTCACAAATAAAAAAAAATACAAAGAAATTGTATTATTAGAAGACTAAATAAACTGTTCTATTTCTCTCTCTCACTCTCTTAGTTTCTCTTGTAATTGCAGACATTTGTAATGTATTCAAATCAGTTATCTCTTAGCGAAATATTTGAATATTTTATAACATTTTTATAACTTTACCAAGAGATAAAATTCCCGCTTATATCGAGGTTACTGCATATATAACGAAGCGATCGCGTAATCGCTATCTTTAACAGAACAGCGAGAGAGCGACACGCGAGAAGAGAATCCCACCAGCGCCCAAACCAGAACAGAGATCACCAATTTGATTTATCACATTTCGGACGATTTTTTCGGACATTTTGCGCTCGGTTTTCACGACTCAGCGTTCCAGTTTCCGGCATGCGGCAGGACCTCTTCGTAGGTCAGCCGTACCTATGTCTCACCAGCGACATGTTGAAAAGTCTCATTCGCGCTCTCGTCCTTGCGCATCCACCACAGGAATTTGAATCTGCGTAACCAGATGCGTGAGATTTTGCCGTGTTCCACGGAATTCTCCAACTGCCGTTTCTCCAGAGAACCGATCGGATCGAACACTAGGGCAAGACCGAAGATACTGAGACCGATCAGAATCCAGTCGAAGAATACCAGAGCTTCGACGACGGTGATGGAATAGGTTGCAAGATTGCATTCTACGCTTTGCCCGAAAATCCACATGGTGCCTAAGACATTCCATCCAATCTCTGGCAGCAACATCAATATCCTGAATAAATAAAAAAAGCGTTTAATATTGAAATTATACATAATTACTATATCTATCGATAATTACTATATCTTAATAATATTGCAATAAAAAATAAAGGCTGATATTTGAATTGATTTAGATGCAATAATTGTATTGACGACACATTTTTTAACAATTTTCAGATGTATATACATATATCGTACGTTATTGATGCTTGTTTCAGAGAAACAAGCATCAATATGAGAAAATTACAGCTTTGCATAACAGAGCAAAATGCTAAAAAATTGCTCGTAGTGATTTATTTTTTTCTTCAATATCTATTCATAGACAGGATGTATATTTATCTGCATTTTTTATACAATCAACGGATTTGCATTCTGCATAAATATATTATAATCTTCATGTAAATAATGATTAAAAATCTTTAGCAAATAAGGATTCAAGAGAAAATATGTAACAAAATCATTTATCTTTAAATAATTTCAATATATTTTAATAAAATTAGAAAATTGGAAGCTAAAATTCCACCCCACAATAATATATAATATATAAAATTATGATAATAACTTTTATTTTCTAACAAAAAAAGTCTTTATATAGATATTGAGCAATTATTTAAAAAATAATGCAATTGAAGTGTATAAAACTTTTCTTAAGAGCACCTTCAAAGTGGTCTAGAAAGCTGGCTGACGTGGTGCTAGTTTACTTTTATTGCTTACTTGATTATTAGAAGCGGTTCGACGTAGCGTCGAGCATGCGTGTCCATGATAGTCCCTCTTGCGCTATGTCTGATGATAATAAGTATCAAGAGCGTGACGATGCTGAGCATGATCGCTTCGCCGAGCAGATACACGCGCACTAATTCACCTCCCAACCGACAATTCCACGTATCCTCGTAGTATCTTACGCAGGCGATCCCTATAAGAATTAACCTGTAAAACGCATAATCGATTACGAGAAACAAACTAACAGTGATCGGAGCGATTTTGATCGGATGGTGTGTAATTGCGTAAAATTTAATGCAGAGAATATAAACTCAAAAATACCGAAAGTTCATATCTAAACAAAGAGATCTCGTTAGATTTTTACTCTAACTTATTGCATCTCAAGAGACTTGACTTCACATAGAATGCGGTTTTAAAATAGCCCGTATCAGATATCTGCGGCTTTTTTACGACTAATATTGTATACGATCATTTTCCAACGATCATTCAATGATTGAGGGTTACCTATTGTCAATACTTACCATACAATACGGATAAATAATTCGAACAAGCCGGGATACACAAGGTCGTCGGTTGCGGCCAACCATTTTCGCCCAAAGAGCTTCAACGCAGGCATTTCCCTGTAGAAAAAAAATTGTACTATGAATACCGCAATTTTACTGGGATATATTGAGAAATTTTATTAGTTGGAAATAAAACATGGCATTTATTTGTAAAGGAATTTCAAAGTGTGTCTTTATCTAGATTCTTGTATCTAGATATTTGTGACATCAAAGTTACCGACCCGGTCACGTTCGCGAAGATCTCGCGAAACGCGCGACGCGGAAAGTTTACTTAACGAGGTGCTCTTACGAGTTTCGTAATATTACAGAAAAAATAGATACGGCTTTCTATGATCATAAATATCTTCAAGATTCGGGCGATGAAATATCTTCTTGATCGCGAGCCTCCGCCCGGAGAAAGCGCCGGGAGAAAGTCCCTGTATCCATCCTACATTCGAAACCGTATTGACACAACTTTCCGACATTCTTTTAAATGGATCGTAAATGCAACAATTCCAATAGTAATAGAAGCTGATAGCGCAGCTGATTGTACTGGTGACAATCAATTATGTTCATAAGCGACCGGATAACGTGCATGTTATTGAGTACATCTGATTATATCAGATGTACGTTTTTATGCTATACTGATCACTGGCAATCGAATCTTATCTTCTATAAAAAGGGAAATAAAACAGGCAGTCATGAGCAATTTGAAAAATTGCTTGTTTTCCAATATAAATTTCTGATCTTTGTTAAAGAAGATAAAAACTTCAAGTTTGTAAAAAACAGAACAGTTATATTTCTTCGAAATATATTCTTATTTATTAATATTTTTTTAAAAATTCTTTCAAAGAAGAAGAGGATACTTGAATCTCTCTCTTAATTCGTGATTCGTGAATATTTCGTTTCTGATTCTTTACAATATTTTTAAATTTGTGCGCGAATTAACGTTCTCTAACTAGTTGCGTAAATAACTTTCAAAGTGTTTAATCGCGGGAAAGCACGTAGTTTACATCATGACGCATGTACTTTTTAAACGCGTCAATTAGTTGCAGATATACGATTGCCCAACTACTTTCTTTCGTAAAGAACTCGATTACAAGAGAACGCGGAAATTACAGTGGATTATTAAAATGGTGAAGGAGAGAAAATTGATACTAGTACTTTAGTAATTTCGTTATCATTAACTACGAATAAAAACTCGAAAACTCGAATTATACTAAATTGTATAATTATCTATCAGTGTATAATTATCTATCAAGATGCAAATTGTTGCTCATTATAATTTCGTGTCATAGCTTTATAATATGTAACGCCGTTTCAATCAATCAAATATCAAGAAATGTTATATATAACACTTTTTTACACTGCTTCCATGATTGAAGTAAGAAAAATTCCAGGAAAATTACGAATCTACAAAAAACCATAAATGCAACCGTGCAATTACGTTGACAATCAACAGCTTCTTTAGAGCTCGTCATTATCTTACATTATTATATGACATAATAGTGCCGTGTGGAAAAGACAAATGTAAAAAGATTATTCAAATATATATCATCCTTGAAAAATAAATATATATTTACAGCGCATAACAGTGTTGCTATTCATGAAGAAATATTTTTTATAAATTATACTATGTTTAAACAAAATTATGATTTAATAGATTTAATTTTAGTAAAAAATAAAAAATAGAAATAAATTTTAACATGAAAATTATAACTGTATATACATATATCTTGTTTAGAATGTTAATGGGCCGAATTACGTAAAATTAAGTGCATCGCATGCATTTTGTGATTTGAAATGTGTGTCATCACGAATTTAAACAAAACATACAAATCGGAAATTCTTATTTAACACATATATATTAACTCATACCAATAAAATTTTTACGAAAGCCATATATCATTAAATCTCACAAATGAATAATGATACTATATAATTGGAGAATATTTAATGTGACAGGAGAGAGCAATTCATTATTTCGATGAAAATAGTTAATAAATTATTAGCAAGAAATTTCTGTTACTATGTATTTCCTAAAAATTGATATATAACATTGAATAATTAGTATTTCAAAAAAAACGCCTAAAATTTACATATTTATTTATAACAAAAAAAATGTAAGATATATTTGGCTGCATTTATATAGTTTGAAATATTGCATTCGTTAAAATTTTACTTTTAAATATTTATTTATATTTTATAAAATATTTTATTTTATTTATGTTTTATAAAATATCACTTTTTTAATTCTTGGCAAACAGAAGGATATATATTTCTTTTTATACCATACAGAAGGATATATATTTCTATTTTATACCATAAAGATAATTATTATAAGAATATCGTCAAGATAATGCCTATTTCATTTTCTATACATGTATAACGTTTTTTATTAATTAAAAAAATTAACAAAACATATTGATACGACACATAATATCTTTCTCTAGTAAATAAAAATGTAAGCATACTATTTTATTTATAATTAGTATGTTTAAAAGAATATTAGAAAATTAGCAGAAAAAATTGTATATAAATCGAGTAGTAGATGGTTATGTTATACGGTATTTAAAATACATCACTCGTAACATCGTAAAAAACATTTTCAATAAAAATTTTTATTCAAGTCCACCTCGGTCAGAGATTAGCAACTTATCTTTATGAGTATGAACACGTAACTGCGTCTAACGGTTCATACTGATTTAAAAATTCTCATTTAGATTTCTCTGATAAAACAAGCCAATATTTAATTTGTTTATTTTTCTATAAATAATGAAAATACTATTAAATGTGTTTTAAATAATTTACGTATTTGTTTCAACAAACATTACATATAATTTAATATATTCAAAAAATATATAATATATTCATTATTTGTTAAATTTTGAAAAAACAGTTAATTGTTTTTAATCATGAAGTAACGATACCGATATACAATACCGATGTTTTGTAAAATTCTGAAACATTTTATCTTGATTAGCCGAGGACAAAGAAGACGAGCTATAATTTACCAATCTTTTACGATACATGATGTTTATGACAGTTGTACACTGATACCGTGGAATCGCTACTAAAAATGCATTATGTATAAATGTAATGATGTTCTTACTCACTAGGCGTGAATCGATATCCGGTGAATCCGGACGTGTCTTATACACGCATTGAAGTCTCCCTTGAACGAATCTGCTGCGAACGCGGCGGCACTCCACTTTACGCACTTCGTGCTTTTCGCTCTCTCGGGAATTTACTGCTCAGCCCCGCGAAGTGCTCGAACGAATCCAACCGGAATTTCCGCCTAATCGTCAGACTGCACCTTTCTCCGAGTCGAGCGCGCGTTTGCAAACCGCAACGAAACTGGAGTACTTCCTGCGCCGCACTGCGTTCCCGTTAAACGCGCGTCACGGAAAACATCGATTTTCGTGATCGCGTACCGGAGACGGATCTTCAAGTCACGCGAATCGCCGCGTCCTGGTCTCTCTTCCTCGATCCTGTCACCGATCGCAAAGCGACGCGCGTGCGATAGTCGCCTCGCTCCGACTAATCGTTCGTTGCACACGACGATTTTAGCACCGTTACCGAAATCGCACTTATCGCACGTATGAAGAAATACATATCGTCCGCGGCACGAGCATCTCTCAGCAGCCGATACCACTTTGGTTCTTTGTCACGTAAATCGCGATAGCGCTAATGACAACAAACGCTCCAATTCAAAATCTCGATGCGATCGATATATAATGCGCGATATTTCGCGACACTGAAGACACTTGTTCGATATGGAGAATCATGACATCGTACTATACACGTCTCGCGACTCGTTCACCTTGCGGCACTCTGCGCGAGCATCCGAATCTCACAATCCTGTTGACCGCAACTGTCCGGTACCGCTGCAGATACTGTAGAGAATTTTCCCTCTCTGCGCGCTTACGACGGGATATCGCGGGCCGCGCTCTGGCCGCGAGGAGGAAAAATGCAGCGAAAAAAAGGAGAAAAGGAAGGAACAGACTAGGGATAAACGACCGCCGAGTGGAAGGTGGGAGCGACGATTCGACGGCGCACCTGGCGAATGTACCTGGCCGTTCCTCTCGCGGGAATAGGAGATGCAGTGAATGCCGATATCCGGTGATGGATCTAGAAAGGAGGACTGATCGAGAAGGGGATATACGCATGTTTTTATCGGGAATAAAATTTATATGTTACATCACACAAGACAAATCCATTAACAAACTCGTTAAGTTAATTAGTCGTTTAAATTTCTAATGTGTACATTTTTTGCACATACATCTCGAGTATCTCCAATTTATTATTTATCGATATTATTCATTTTTTTTTAGAAAATTTCCATGTAATTTTTCGTATAATCATGATATTTTAGGCGGATTCATTAGACGAGAGGATAGATAGAATCAAGAGAGAAACTTTTATTTCTATTATATATCTTTTATTGCTTGAATAATATCGATCTGATAACCGCATTGTTAATATATAGATATAGGAAATGTTGACCACGTACATGTACAATGATTATGTTGCATATATATATTACATATATCAGTTTCTTAATTGCAAACATTGCGTGTGTTATTGCAATTAGTTTGTGCTACAACAGGTTTCCGAATGTTACGAAGCAAGTTAAATATGCCAAATATATTTCACAACTATGAGTTCGGCAGGAAACGATGTTTCTAGAACATACTACACTGTAATAAAGAAAAATATTTCTCTTTTAGAAATATAACTTTAAACTAAATCAAAATTAAACTATATGAATGATCGGAGCACATAGATAATAATGATTCGAGAGTATGAAAATGCTTAATATAAACAACATACTACAACTACATTTTTTTGTTTTACAATAAAGAGAAAAATAGAAATGTGGCCTTATATTGATGCAAATTTATTGCTATTTATGGCTTTACGTAACCGAAAGTATTACTTATGCAAGAAATTAAAATAACTGTGTACGCATTTTTGCCCAAATTTTATGTAAATTTTGACTTTTGTATATATAATGATTTAACAAACAAAAACAAGTTTTAAAAATATAGTGATTTAACAAACAAAAAACAAGTTTTAAAAATAATATTTATACATTCATACTTTGTCGCTTGCTTGGACTGCACAATTTAAGCGATATTTATGAAAAAAGAAGTAGTATAACGCGAAATTTCCTAAAATTTAATTAGGATGTAATATATGTATACGTAAATATATGGCAACGTGTTAAGAGAATAAACATTTGAGGAGAATGACTAACCTTGTTTGCACATTCCATCGCGATTTTACGGACATTGAAATCAGTTCCGTCCAAAGACGTGCTCGAGTTCACAAAATAACGTTCACGAAAAAAATGCATTATATATTATATATTCTTTTCATCCTCCTTGAAACAAAACGCATCTATACTCACTAGTCGGAAAGTTATGCGCTTTTTTATGCATCTACGCATTCGAGATATAAATTTTTTTCTTTTTAATTACGATTGTCACCTGAGTTTATAGAATGACGTCATAACCGACATTGTTCTTATACATAAAGATCAAATTATTTTTCCAAGACGCTATATGCTGATCTTTTGACGTTGCAGAACATATATGAGTGAACATGATATATACAACATGATGTAGCAATTTAAATAAAAAAAGATAATCAAAAATTACAAACAAAAAATAAAAATACAATTTATAATCTACCGTTAGAATTGACGTGTACCGAAAAAGGCGTCTTTCTTCGTAATTTAATTTAAATTGATTAATTTTTTTTGAGAAATTCTTTATTCGTGATACATATGTATATATATTTAAATATTTTAATCAAATCCTGGTTGGTTACGAAATAAATCAATCTTTAATATCATTCGATCAGAGTGGAACGATTGTGATTCTATTATATCTCGGATTCTCTTTTTTTATTAACGCGATACTAAGATAGATGGGAATACGTGTCAAATTTCCATATGGATTTAATGATTTTGCAATATATCAATCCTTTCATCTTACCAATACGATAATCCGCAACATATATGTATAATACAATTAATAATGATATAGGTATACCTGAAGATATATCACTCCTTTCTTTTGCGTAGATCAATGAAAAATGATGTTCAATCATTCGACAAAAATTGTTGTCGTGTGTAATAATAAGTTTGATGAGGGATTCCGTGTTTGTTTATATTCGCAGGTTCCTGTACGTCAATATAACATAAGCGGCGTTTATTCGCATTCTATTTTATTATTTAGCGCAATAAAATAATAGAACTATATCTTCCCTTATTATACATTAGTTTAATAATTTTAACGTTAAAGAATTAATATTGTGTAACATATATGTGTATTATTGAAACACATAGTAATGGAACGTGTAGTGGCACGACAGGTTTGTGTCGCCGATAGCATTATAACAATCACGGGAGGGATAGCAAGCGAGCGCAAGTTTGTATGTTGAATGAACCGTAACGTAAATCGTGCATTGGACAAGCAATTTGATTCTTTTCGACAAGTTTGCTGAGAGACAACGATGTGGACTTTCACTCGCGTGTACCGAAACCACGACGAATTCTCTGGATTCTGTGCTGCGTATACACGTGCGTATCTAAAGGAGTAAGTGCGCTCGCATAATTGTTGTCGCGACCGATTGCAGCATCAGCAAGTTCGAAGAATAAATAATTAGCTAACTGCGAATCCTCGACCTATTTTCGTTCGGTCACAAAATTATGAATAAAAATTGAACTTAGAATACTGAAATTTTCAAATGCTGATATTAAAAATAAATAAAATTAACGCGTACGCTATAAAATTGTAATAACATTTGAAAAAATCAAAATCTTTTTTAATTAATTTACTTAAAACTAAATTAATTTTAATGTCAAATATGTCCAAACATATTTAGTAAAAAATTATAATAAAATAATTTTAACAATTTAATTCGTTAATTTAAATTATACGTATACTTTGCATTAAAACAGTGTAAAAGTATAAAATTATGATATAATACAACAGTGAGAGATGAGTTTCTTTAAATATGTGTGTTTCTGGTGTAATATTTCATATGATTTTAATTTAATATTCATGTGTTTTTCTAATTTAATATACATTTTAACATTTAATATTTATAATTTAAATATTCATAAGATGACAAGATGAATTAAAATGCGAATATTTTATTTGCAAATATATTATTTAATAAAAACAGATATTTTCGCTGAAAAAAGTGATTCATTTTCATAATCGCATTCTATATTAATAACACAGATTTTTTTGATGTTAAAGAAAGTTTATGCAGATAGTATATAATATTACATATTAATTACAGACAAAATAATATTTCAATGCAATATCTTCATAACAGATTTATTACGACTTGCAAATTATATGTTACTACAACGCTTCGTAATTGATCAATAATTTCGCAGCAATGATCAATATCTCATAGCAATCATAATTATTTTCACTATGCACATTGCCGTATAGCAAAGTATAATCACGCATAAATTACTGTCATGCTCTAGCGTATTGTCATATGAATAAATTATAGTTGATAGTATTAGCAAATTATATATTTTGTAATATTTAAATGAAATATTTTTTGATGTTAACTTCGCACGTTATCTAAATGATTTATATTTTTGTACCGTTTTAATTCTGTGAAGTATATGCATAATGTAGAAAGGATCCAGGTAGCAAGATGACGTCTTCAAACGTCTTAATGACGTACAATGACGTCATTAAAACGTTATTAAGATGTCATTTGATGTCACTCTGCTACCTGGGGAATGTTTCACATACAAGTATTAACATTATTTAAATACTTAATCGAGGATCGAAAATGTAAGCAATATGTTAATCAATCATATATTAATAAGTTAGTATATTATATTATCTTAATAAGTATTTTTAGTGAATTTCTTGTATATTTTATGACATTCTATGCTATTTCTACATTTTATTCTAATATGTTTTCACGTTCGTATTCGCGTCATACTCATAAGCACACAGAGTTTATATTTTTTTCTTGATTTATATATATAATTATTTTAACATAATCAATCGTGCAATAAAAACTAGAGCGAAACGTGTTACGCTCGCGTTAAACTCACTTGTATTAAGCGATAAGAATCAACTCATTCGGTAAAACGACGATTGTGTCGTGTACGATGGTGGGGGACGCCGGCGTATTTGTTTACATTCGCAGCTTACCATATATCAACATGACGCGTCATCAGTTTTTGTCCGCATTTCAGGTCATTATCGTCTAGCGTATACGCGGTGATAGACCGAACTTGCCTTGCTCTCATTATATTAACTGGAACATTTTAACATTAAAGAATTAAATTAGTATATATGTGCGTATTATTGAAACGCACAATAACGGAACGCATAATGATACGAATAAACTTGCATAGTGATATGATAAACTTGCTTTGCCAATAACGTTCCCAGACAGCACAAAAAGACCAAAAGATGTCTTAAAGATGTCTAAAGGACTTTAAGACGTCTTTAAGTAGTCTTTTAGATGTCTCTTGGACATGTGTGCTGTCTGGGTTACAACTATCACGGGATAATAATGAGAATTTATATTGAACAAGCGATAACGTAATCGTGCATTGAATAAGTGATTTGATTCTTTTTGACAAGTTTATTGAGGGACAACGACGTGAATATGTATACGATAATGAAACTTAATTAAACATTGGTAATATAATCCACAGATTATCGTATCAACGAATATTCAATAATGATTATTTGAACATTTTGCCTCCTGAATTAACATGGCAACAATTCGTATCTTTTGAATTATAAATATATTAAATAATATTTAGAATAATAAATATAGCAAATAAATAAATTATAGGACATAAATAAAATATAGAGAAATAAAAAAATAAATAATTCCACTTACATACGCTTCTATGCGTTTGATTAATTTTCAGTAGAGAATCAAACAAGATTTTTTCAATAGAGAATCAATCACGATTATTTTTCCATTCTTATTGGTCATTCAAATTTGAAAATTTATGTTCCTAGTGAAGCGTAGCCCCCCCTGACGATGAGAAGTTAAACGCGTAATTTGGGTGATTGAAGTGAAGCGCCGCGCGAAACAGTTGCTATCGGGTATCGCGAGTGTCAACAATGTAACGTCGTATGTGCGCATCAATCTTTGGCTTGATCCTGGCAAGGATCCTGAATTCCGCGATATTCGAGTGTAATACGCATATATCTGTCTCATCTGAGATAAGTCTAATTGACGATTCTTACGATCCATCGCTCTCACAATCGTAAATCACCTTCATTCGGTGCTGTGTGGTGCGTGTTCGGCGTTGCCGACAAGATGGCCGCTTTTTCTTTTCCCGCCGTTCGCGGCGTACGAAACAGATTATGTACATATATTGTTGAGTATCATAACGGAAGAGAAGTATCAAATACGCGATGTCGAGTGATTGGAAGTGCCGAGTATATCATATGATATCGGGAGTGTCAAGTGCCATAAAGACTGTCATCAACAAGTGTTACACGAGTGCTCCGGATTTCTCATCCTGGAGGATCATCCTGCGGATATCTTCGATCGAGATCAGACGGAAATTGGAATCCGGCTGACGGGATGGCGACGCTGCAACTGGTGAGTAAATTTATTGCGTCTGCATGATTTATTTCCCACGGTTATTATGTGGGATAATTGCTGTGCTTGACATTGATTACGCACCTTAAAATGTTTTAGTTTTCTACATTAATAAAAATGTAAAGAATGAATAAAAATCTCTCTCTCGTTTACAAGAAAAATCTTATTTGTTTATAAAATCTTTAATTAAAAAATTAGAATTCATAGATACGAAGACGTTTTTTCTTGAAGAAATATAACCCAGGTAGCAAGATGACGTCTTTAGACGTCTTTAGACGTCATCTTGCTACCTGGATAATTAACTAATTAAATAAATAAATGAAATTTTATTATTAATTTTTTGGCAAACAGATAATAGAAAGATTATGATATTAATATAAATAATAAAAAAAGATTTTAAATTTATGAAATTATTAAACGAAGAGATATACATATGATATTATTATATTATTAATTAACGATATTCACACAAATGCTTATTACTTATCTTCTTATCACAGATCGATAAGTAAGCAAGTATCTAAATCATTTTTGGATTATTTTAAAAATATTTATTACAGTTGGTAATTCTATATATTCAAAATTAATTTATGTATATTATAATTATGTTACCTTTTTTTTCCTTCTAAAAGTCGAAGTGCTCTTTAGATAATATCATAGGAGAAATATTTCTAGCGTTGTACAGTCGATAATTTATTTCTTCGCTAGATGGCATCACCAATATTGTAAACAATCTATAATAATCAAAATTTAAAGCAATAAATTTGTTCGCGAACTCTAATGTTGAGAGAGATTTTGTAATATTTAAATTCATAGTATCAATGAGGTAATATATTCTTATATTATGAAAAAATTTTGCAAATTCTATTCATTTTTTATTTTTTACATACATGTAAAGTCCAAAATCTAAATGCAAATTATTTTATTTTATTGTATTCATCAATTTGAATATATGGAAATAATTTTAATATACAAATTATTGTTCTTTTTTTAAATGCATAATTTTTACACAAAATATAAATTGCTATATGAAATGTTTCTAGTTATTAAAATATTAAGAAAATATAATTTTCATGTATTTTCTGAACAATTTTCATACGTATTCTAAAATATCATTCGTATTAATTCTTTACAGTTAAATATGACACTTTAATTTTTCATCAATTGTTTATGTGACCAATATTATGATATACATCAAGTATTATGTAATATTACAATAATATTAAATTGAAAAAACACATAATACACAGAAAAGAGAGAAGTTTTCATTAAGAATTTTCTATTTTGTTTATCTTTAATAAGTAATTGATATTAATTTGATAGAAGTAAATAGATATAAATATAAATATTTATTTTTTTATTATTAATATAATGGATTTACATAAAATTATAATATATGTTTTCTTATTGATATTATATCACTTTTATTTTCTTAATCGTATATATGGATACGTTTCTAACAATAAATCGTCGAGATAATCTTTATTTTTTTTTATCTAATATCTTTTCTCGTAATCGATCGCACAATTCACTAGATCAAAACTGCAGCGTTATATTCGGTTACATTTATCACATCATATCAAATACATTATTAAAATAACGGATATATTATTTAGCAAGTGATATCTTATATATATATTTGGAAATATATCTACAAAATAATTGACCCTGTAACATTATAACGCATAATAGAATCATACAATACATTTTATTAAATTTGATCGCGCGAGTCTCTATTATTCTTTGCGGTAATTATAAAAATAAATAAAAGAATTTCTTGCTAGAGTTCATAGCTAATCGGTCCATATGGAGTCGCGACTCTGTTATTTATGTGTTTCCGTACGCGCTTTTACGGTAATAGAATTTATATTCCTATTTGCCACGCGATAGGATTCGCGGTGTAACGTGGATTAATCGATGCGGACTGGATCGCGGCGAAATCCTCCGTCTATCCGCTAGCACTTGGACACGGTGTCAATCGAGACGATCCGCTAAACCGATCGCGTTCTTTGCCGCGTCGGCCACTATCTTTTGCATCTCGAAGACCGCCGTCGTCCCGACTCCGTCGCGTCTCATCTCCGTCGTCGCAGTCACGTCTTGCGAGGGTGGAAACGAGGAAGGAGGATGGCGAATTTACAAGAGAAAGGAAGAATGAGCTTAAAAGATGGAAAGAAGGGGGACGGGGAACGAAACGAGAGGATAGCGGTCGGGAGTGGCGCGAGAGAGAGACGCGGGGTGTCGGCGAGGCGAGGCGAGGGGGGTGGGCGGTGGGGCGCGCGGGGTGGCTCCGTGAAGGAAAAGGGGGTGCACGGCCGGTGGGTCGTTATTTTTGTGCCTGCTTCGTCTTTAATTTCTCCCCACCTTTTGCGCGCCGCGGCGCTGACGCCGCTCCGCGCCGCTCCTCTCCTCTCCTCTCCGCTCCTCTCCGCTCCTCTCCGCGCCGCGCCACGCCGCGCCGCGACGCCGGGCAGAGGAGCCGTGGCGCTGGTTGGTGTGCGGTTGTCTTAGTTCGTATGCATATCTCAGTGCCTCACATATTGATTCAGGGCGTCATTACGCGTCTTAGCTCGGCCCACTCCCACCACTGCTTAAACCACCCTCCACCACCCTCTTCCAGTTCTCGCCGGTCCCCTCGCTCTCCCCCCCCGTCCCCCGTCCCCCTCCTCCCCCTGCCCTCCCCCCTCTCGCTCACGGCCCGTCGCCCTCCTCCACCTTCTTCACCTCCAGCCACCACCGTCCTCCTGTGGCTCTCCTTCGCCGACCCGACCACCCCGATCTACCCTGCACACGAACCTTTACTACCCCCCAGCTGGAAGAATCTTCTTGCAGACCGGTCCTTCCCTATCCCTCTTCCTTCCTCCCGCCCTCCTAGTTTAAGCGACACGCAAGTCTCGTCTCTCTTTCCCTTTCTATTCTCCCCCCTGTTTCGTGTGTGCTCGCGAGCGTGCTTGCCTTGGGGAACACGTGGGGCCGCGGCGCGTGTATATTCGCGTGTATATCGTCGTCTCTCGCGCGCCAACTCGCATAATCGATACGAGATTAATTTCGATCGCGATGAACGCTTTGTTTCTTAGCGACGACGAAGAAGTTCCCGAACGCTCGCGTTTTTTGTCACGAGATAAGACATTGATATAAATTAGCGACTATTGCAGTTGACGATGAGTTACTTAAGTTAGTGTAATTTATTTAAATGAATTGTAAAATTTATCAAGTTTTTTTTATTGCTTTTTAACTTGTTCGTTCTTGCAATTTAAGTTTGCATTTTGTGCTTATCTGTTGATATTCGAAGATTATCTTCGAGTAATCTTTTCGAATTTATTAAATACAATTAGTGTTAAAGAAAATTTTCATTTTTTTTCAATTACTCTTCGATGTCACGCACAAAGAGTTTTTTTAATAGAAAAATTCGATTCTTTGCTGTATAGCGAAATGTTGGTCACATATTACATTGGTCGTGCAAGTTTTGATTTGAGACCTTCGACTTTAAGGAGACTTTCGTGAATCATTGTCGAGCGCAGCAAAGAGCACACGATTAACGACGAGACGCAAATGATCGGGCAGTCTCGTCGAACATAAATGTGTTGATATTTATAGTTCATATATTTAAAGAGACTTTTCTTTCATAGAGTAAAGTAGATTCAAAGTACGTCGACAGGTTAGCCTTGAAATCTGCTTACGATCTAAACTCTAGATAAGACAACTCAGTGGCGACTTTAAGTACTTTATAATATTCATTCTTATCGCATAGCTGGTTTAAATTTGATCGAAGTCGACAAGCGATCTTGTAGATCTTGTTTCAGTGTATTTATATTTCAAAAATTATATGAATAATAAATTATAGATGTATTCACGTAGATATACATACAATAATATTAGATAATATTAATAGAGTGCAACGCGTTATAAGATTGTTTGAGAACTGAGAATACATGTCGCCACCTGTTGCAATTTCTAAAAAGAACGATCATGATAACATTTATCACATGATACCGTGCTAAGAATTCGAAAATAGATTTTGGATTCACGATTACATGATTTCCGCATAATTTGAATAATTTATAGGAGAAATTAAATAAATCGTCAATATTTTCACTGATACCGCATAAGCATTAATTATAAGTAGATCAAGCGGACCGAAAGATACGTGAATCGTATATTATTATATGTATAGGACTCTATACACTTTAATCAGTGTCATAGGGCTAAAGAACGTGAACTCGAAAAGCTTATTTAACCTGTCTAAACTTAGAATCGCGGACGTAAAATTGTTATGAATGTATAGATTACGCATTTGCATTTGATCTATATTCGCGGACACTATTGCGAATTTATGTGATATTATATGTATATGTAGGCATTCAGAAATTATGCATGGGAAATTCTCAATTACTAAATTTTTCAATAGAGATATTTTTGTGATCAATTCTAAAATAGAGAGAAAGAGAAAAACATATTTATATTTAGTATCAATTTTTTCCTCTCTAATTTTTTCCTTTAAAAAAGGTGGGCTTCCATCGTTTTATTCTTACATAATTTTAACGTATAATCGAGCATTTTCTCCATTTATTATACAAAATATTAATTTTTATAATTGACATCCCACGATTTTTCACTTTCTACGAATTTCATGTGTACATTGTGTGCGCGGAGCGGCCGGCGCACACTATCTCACCGGTTTACATAAGTGAAGTTCCTTGGCCACCACCCTCAGTCACCACCTCTTATATACCCCTCTGTCCTCCCACGCCACCCCCGACCGCCCTCATCCTCCTCTTCCTTCTACTGCTCCTCCTCCTCCTCCCGTTTTCTGCCCAAGCGTTTCTAATTTGCATTCCCCTCCGTTGGCACTCCTCACCCCCCCTCGACTCTCCATCCGTCGTCTCCTTCGCGTCCTCATCCTCCAACGACGCCATCCGCCCAACAACCCCGTTGTCCGTCTTGCGAGGTTTCACGCACACGCATGTCCTTCGTCCGTGTATCACGCGTACGACGCGGGGATC